CAACTGCGGTAAACTCAATTTACTCATTTGACTTTCGTGAAAGCGTATAGGAATAAAAAATTGTATAAAGTATATGTTATTTAATAGTAGAGAGAAAGAGTGAAAGAAGAAAGACTTTTGTATGTTCCAATTATCGAAAGCTTATAAAATTGATTAAAGCAAATTTGTAGGCTTAACAATAATCTAAAAATATTAAATGTTAAATATTAACGATTAACAAACACATGAATGATTAAATATACTTATATACATATATATTAAAAATAGGCTGTTATGTACAAATATATACATACAAACATCATTTTATTTTTTCTTATTTTTTGGCTTTGTTTACTTTTTATCTATAAATATACAGACATAATTAGTATAAAATTAATTTGAAAAAAAAGGTTTTTTTGGATGTGTTTGCTCGAAAAAATTCCATCTTTATTCTTTTGATTAAAATGTATATAACAATTCATTAAAATTGACATTGGTGTTTAATTTACACAATGATTTCATCGAATACATTTTCCTATTTACATATATGTTCCATTTCTATTTTCTGCTATGCATATTGATATAGCCTAGCATAGAGTATTCACATTGAGGGAGAACTTGTAAATTAATAAATACATCAATTGTAAACTAGTTTGTGCTTACTCTTATTTACTATTGATATATATGTGGAAGTTGGACGAATTGAATCACTTTAGATATTCTAAAACATCATCCAAAGGAATTTCAGGAGATTCCCTGGATCATTCGTACAGGTGATATTCCAATCACGCGCTCTAGTGCGTTTTCATATTCTTCTTCTTATTTATTTATTTATTTATTTTTATTTTTTGTGGGAATAGGCCGGTTTTAAAAATAAATATAACGAAAATCAAAAATACATACAAAATATATGTTCTCAATGGGGTCTGCCACGCTTCCTTCTGCCCTTTTACATTAATTTTAACAAAATGGGCTCAGAGTATTAAATTGGATTTCCACATTTGTTAATAATTCCAACTGGTTGAATAGTCTGAAAGGGTATTTATTGTGCAACAACTGTATTTATTTCATTTTGTGTACGTTTTTTACATCTTGTGAGTAATGCAATTTAAAAAATATAAATTGCTGTGAATAACTTTTTTTGCAATTTCCAATTGACACAAATTAAATTAATTTTATTTTATTTTGTATTTTTTTTTTTTGGTATTGCCAGACATTTTTTATTTGTTGAATCAATTCAATATAAAATTGCAGTTCTTTTATCCTTATTTTTTCCGTAATACATTCAAATTTAAATAGGTTATTTAATTAAATGCGTTTGTTGCCCACGTGAAGCCAACAATTGCGTGAAACATCAGTTGGCTTTTCCATTTTTCAGTTATTTTATTTTTCCGCTCTCCCTCTCACACACACTCTCTCTCTCTCTCTGACTCTCTTTATCTCTTTTCATATCTCCACCTTTTCCAGCCGATTGTATAATTTCGTACAACTTTAATGTTGTTTATATATATATATTTTTTATTTTAAAGCGTTTGCCCCAAACTGTCGCTGGAGCAAATGAAACTCAACCAACAAATGCGTTGATAAGGAATCTGCGAATTGCAAATTGCGAGCTGCAGCTGTGAAAAATTGTAAAATTACAATGAATAATGCAAAAAATCATTCGAACCGCTGCAAATGGCTTATTATACCGTCCCAGAGAATACTTTAATCAGGCTATTAAGCAATTCACATATTTTTATTGTAAATATATATCTTATTTTCCGATTCTCTGTGATTATACTGTACGCTTTTCGTACATATTTCATATATTTTAGTCTCTTGTTTTACGTTATTTAAGCAAGATATTGACTGCCTTCAATGGGAGTGCGCGATTTAAGAATATTATGTGGTTGATTCCTGTAATAAACACAAAACGACAGATTCTACGAAAGTCTTTATAATTAATTATACCCTGAACCCATTGAAAATGGGAAATCAGGGTATAATGGTTTTGT